CTGCTATTGATTTAAACCTTTTCAATCAATTCAGGATTACACTTAATCTTATAAGTATAATCATATTTACTAAACCTTTAGTAAATCATGACGAATATCATTGTTACTCTTATGGTGGACTTTGATCAACACACAAATTTGTGTACTCGATCTCCTAGTCCTTCACTTCACACTTTGTCAACAAATTAGTCTAATTTCCAAATGTGAAGGTTTATTCATACATCATATGATTCTTGTTGTACGATTCCAAATCTCTATCCAATAGAAACTTGGGCGATGAGAAACATTCCCTATTTTCTAAATTCTCGACATTTCCACAACAACATAATTAAGAATCACATCCATTTGTTGTAAATATACGAACATCAATTTTTCATAACGATTTCATTGCAAGGAGATAAATAAATAAATAAACACGTCAAACAAAATTTATTTTATTTATAAAAGCAGCGGAAAACATTTGTCCTTACAATGCAAAATCAACTAAAAAACTATGTAATAAATATTCCTAACAACTCTATCTAAGCTCAAAATCTAATCTTCGAATCCATGTCTTCGTGATTAGATTCATCTTTCTATTTCATCAAGCTTCCTCTCTTTTCATTGATCCTACAAAACATTCAAATGCAATCTTAGCACATTATGTATTAAGAATCAACGAATAGGAACTCGATCGATTTAGATAGTGGATTTTACCTGAAGCAGAGCCATACGTTTTGACTATCCCATCTCTTAGATCTCTTAGGTAAATAGGGCAGACTTGTATCCAACGCCCTTTCTCTTGGCAGAAAACGTAGGTCGGTTCTCCTAGAACATCCTCAGAAGCATGGTTGGTTGTCTTTCCCAACAAATACGCTCCATTGCTTTGCCAAATCATTTCTGATTCAGCAGCAATGAGCATGTAAGTTAGGTCAATGAGGCTTTCGTCATGATCCATCATATAATACTTTCTTTTGAACTCATTATATGATTCGGGAAGTGACTGCAGAACAACAGTTCACAGCCAACTTATCCGAGAATGACACACCCAACATCCTCAACGTATCAATGTGTGATTTCATTCCTAGAACGTGGGCACATACGGGTTTACCATCTTCATGTTTCATTTCCAATAGGGCTTTAGTGACATTGAACCTTTCAATTCTTCAATCTTGTGGGTTAGGGGGGAACAACGGGAGGAGGAGGAGGAAGTGAAGCATGATTTCTTGTTCCTCGATCGAATCGTGGAATATCATCTTCATGTGGAATGCTTGTTCCATGGGATTTGGGAAGACCATAGTTGTCGAACTTTGACATCTACAAAACGGGAGAAAACAAATTCAAGTTAGTTGATTGATTGAGTCCTAAGTAAATCACCCAAATGAGATACTAAGGCTAGGACCCAACACAATACGCTACAACCTAGAAAAGAGATGTCGTAATCTAGTTGCAGAATATTTGAAGGTAAGTGAATGACGATTCACTAATTTCCACCATGAAAAACGAAACAGAAATTTAAGTTTTAAATCTATGAAAACTCCTAGATCCTTTGAGATTCGTTGAACATTTCAATGGCATGTTTACATCTCGATATGCCCCTCTTGTTTGTGACTGGGATGCCGAGGATCACAAAGCGGGTGTGAATAACCATGCAAACTTACATGGTGCCCTCACATGTTACGATCACCTATTCGATGTGCCGGTAAACCACACACGCTCCACCGAACTATGACAAACATTGAGTCACCCTTTGCAACCTTTGCTTAGAACCATTTAGTGTGCCAGTAAACCACACACGCTCCACTAACGTCTTCGCAAGGGCACAAAGTGTAATTTCATGGAATTGCATCAATTCACTTTTTCCTAAGTAACTAAGATTGGGAATGTGTAAAACATTTAGTTACTTTTGTACTTCATTATACTTATAATGGAAGCTTTTGTCCTATCCTACCTGTTCGGCTAACGACCGTCCACTAGTCAAGAGTGCGGTGGGTAAGAGTGGATACCCATTCAATCGCCATTTTATAGGGAATTTCCTTAAACACCCCTTATAGACCAGCTTCGTGAATGAGGCGTACTAACGGTAAGACTGACTTTTACTTATACATATATATAATGTTAGACTTTTAATGTTATATATAGTATAGGGTGTATTTTACACTTTTAAAATACTAGGTGGTCAAATTTAACGATTATACTTTTAATTCAATCAAATATAAACCAAAACTTTTATGGATTTATTAAACCTCTTTTAATTATACACCTTAATTAATTAATAAAACCATAAGGGTGTGATATGAACTTTTCAAAACACTACTAGGGTTTTAGAATTTAACATTCCTAGATTAAACTTTTAATCCAAATTTAAATTCCAAAACTTGAGGACAAGTTTTGAAACATTTCAAAACTTGGGGTTTAGAATTTAAATATACATCAAAATTAAACTTTTAATCAAAATTTAAATTCCAAAACTTGAGGGAAAGTTTTGAAACCTTTTTCAAAACATTAGGGTTTCAACTATTTAAATTTCAAAACTAAACTTTTGAGTTCAAATTCAAATTATAAAACCTAAAGGGGAAAAATTGAAACTTTTGATAACACAAGGATCAAATATCAAATAATATAAATTAAACAACTAATTTCATAATTATCTATATTTGACCTAATTTCAATTTCTTGCAAAATAAGTTACCCAATTAATACAAATAATCTAATCTTTATCATATAAGGAAGTTATTATCTAATCAATTGGTAATTATCTTGTGTTTTTGCAATGATATTCTTTAATAAACAATAAAATTCGTATTTTATAGGTTTAAAACGAATATGGTAATTATCCTTAAGCAAAACAGTAACAAAATCCGAAAATCCCTCTTTCTGACGCTCCGACTCGCCGAGTCACACTCTGGAACTCGCCGAGTAGGGCTGACTCGCCGAGTCCAGGTACTGAATCGCCGAGTCAGGTCAAACAGAAGGCCAGAAAACGATTTTCAGCTACATAATGCATCAATACAATAGAAACCAATCTAGGCTATGATACCACTGATGGGTTTTGATCATAAGAACATCCTATGTGCTCATACAAACCCTAATGCTTGGATCTAGGTTTCTCTATTGTACATGCAATTTATCCAAGACTATAAACCCTAATTCTAGCATATGATAATCGACATTAACATAATAATGGGTTTAAGATATTACCTTAATTGTTATGTAGCAATAACAATCATAATTCCTTCTTGTAATGACTTTAGAAAGCTTAGAGTCACAAATGTCACTCCTCTAATGGTTCACAAACACCAAGAGCAAGAGGATGAAGAGGAGAAGAGAAGGAGGCTGCCCAAAACCGTCCAAAACCCTATAGAAAAAGTTCCATACGTTTTTGGGGCTTAAGGGTACTATTTATACATGTAGGCTATTAGGGATTTAAACTAGGAAACCCTAATCTGATTGCTTAAGCCCTAAGCAGCCCATGGATTCCTTTCCTAAAGGCCTTGGATGATTTCTAATGGCTTTCCCCATAGAATTCGTCCAACCTTATAATATAAGGCAATCCATAGCCCAATTGCAATTATCTTATAATTAGAATTCCAGTCCCTTAAGTTTAATTAATCTCTTTTAGTCACAAACTTAATTCTTATTAATTCTTGACTGAATTTATTTAAACAATATGATTTCTCCTTTAATATATTATTCCCATAATATATTAGTAAATCATATTTAATCCTTTCTCTCCATAATTCATCCTATCAAGTTGCTTTGGTGAAGGCAACCCAAAAGGACAACGCACCATCGGGTCAAGTACATACCAAAATAGTTATGGACTTAGACACTAATCCAACAATATTTATAATCAATATTGCATATAAAGTAAACAAACTTCCTTAATGCAACATTGAGTTCCCTTCTTATTCCACCTAGATATACATGTTTAATCATAAAATATTATAAAGATTAGATTTTGACTAAATAATGGAAATATATATATAAAAAAAAAAAAGAGTGGTGCCTAATTGTTTATTTGTTTTAACAACAATTAAAGATCATTCTATCAAGTGAAATTAGTTTTGATAAATGTAGTTTATGAAATGACCAACCTGACCTTGGCGAAACCAAGCATTTGCATTGTTTCCACCATCACACAAAGCAAATTCTGTGTCCAACAATGCTCCTTTTGCATCACCTATTTTCAACTTACAAGCCTAAGGGGTAAAAAAAGAATTTTGGGTCATTAATTGAGATAGACCTTATATTTTGTAGGGGTTGTTTCCTTTTTTTTCTCTCATTAGGTAAAGTAGCTAAACTGTTAATTATGATAAAACGCACTGCATATAAGGTTTGTTTTTTCTAGACCGAATAAACCGATTGAATATTACTAAATGACCATTTTACCCTTATATTATAAAGAAAGAAATTTCACTATATTCATCAATTTGAATGTAAGAGTAGGGAGAAACTTACAACACTATTTGTGAATATATGTGCCTTTTTCTTTCCAAGATAAATACTTCGGTCTATAAATTTTTAACAAATAAGAAATTTGTGTAAATGGAAATTACTAAATCCTTAAAAACAATAAAGAAATGTTGGTGTTAAGTATACCATCATCCATTCCTTCTTCCTCCCAACAGAGATCCAAATATCTCATAACATTTTTGAAATAGTTTATATAGAAACTACCATGAAAGCTTCACTTCCACAAGCTTTGATCGACTCAACAACATCCGACCACCAAGAAAGTTCAACAGAGCCATTGTCAATATCTGCAGGCCAATTCTGATACACATCTCCATCGTTGCAAAAATTCCCAATTCCATCATCTTCATCTTCTTTTTTATTTTTTTTGTTTTTGTTTTAATTCTATCCATCTTTTTCTGTGGGTGGGGTAGTCTCTACTGCGTTTATCAAAGTCTCTACTGCCAATAATCAGTTTAATTCATCACAAAAAACTCATAATCTTTTTATTTGGTGATTTTGATGAGTAAAATCTTGATGTTTATCAAAGTTTCATAGCTGGTGCCATGGATATTAATTATTATCCACAAGTGTTTCATGTTAAGATTGGAAGAAGTGATCAATTTGATAGGTATGTTTGCTTTTGGAATGAAAGTTTGTTAAAATTACTTGGAAAACAAAAATAAATATGTCTAACAATTAATGGAAGTTATATTAGGCTTTTAGTTCCATCAAAAAATTTGTTGCGAATTCTGTCACTAAGATGTGAAGACAAGGATCCTAAGAGAAAGAATTGATCACCTAATGTGATGTGCAGACGAATTCTAAAGATTTGTGTACACTAATCATTTGTGGAAATATGAGAAACAAACAATAATACAATTGTATTTTACTTTTTATTTAATTATCTTCATTTTTAAGTCTATGCAAGTATGAGACGTGTTAGATGCTTTAGGAGATAAAAGGACTTAACAGATGAAATAGACACACCGAACAACAAAAACCATTAGTTTTTATTTAATTATCTTAATATTTATATTCTTTAGTTTCCGTTTTCCCTCATTCACACCTTCAATGAACATACCATGTGCATTTGTTTTTTAGATTCTTTTAAGGAGCCCTTATGTCCCTATCTCTTTTGACCAATTCACATGGTTTTCAAATTAGTTACAGACCTGATTATGATATAAAACATAGTTTGAGTGAAACTTCTATTAGCATTTATCAGAAAACAAATCTATATGTCATCACATTGATCCTTTTTTAGAACAATAAACTTGGTTGTATTATAATTACAAAAAGACAACATGCGGTATTATATGTTATTGTCGGATTTAACAGCGTAATAATATAGCTTAACTTCATTATTTAAACATATATATATATATATATATATATATATATATATATATATATATGTACCAAAATCAACTCTCTGGTCCATTCCCGTTGAACTTGGGAATTTGAAGTCTCTAACTGATCTTGGGGTGAGCAACAATCAACTTAGTGGTTCTAATCCTTCATCACTAGCAAACCTCAGCAATGTACAATGGTTGATCCTCGGTGTTAATAATTTATCTGGTCCCATTCCAAGTGAACTTGGGAAGTTGAAGTCTCTCACTCATCTTTCGGTGATCAGAAAACAGCTTAGTGGTTTCATTCCTTCATCATTTGGTGATTTGACATCTTTAAATCTCCTTTATATGTCTCACAATAAACTTGTTGGTCCCATTCCTAGTGAATTTGGGAAGTTGAAGTCTCTCACTGATTTTCAGGTGAACAACAATCAAATTAGTGGTTTTATTCCTCCAGAGTTTGGAAATTTAACTCAACTACGAAGACTTATACTGTCTTCAAATCATTTGGTAGGAGAGATCCCAAAGGACTTTGGGAAGATGAAAAGTATGTTGGAACTGTACTTGGCTGTCAACCAACTTTTAGGTGTTATACCTCTAGAGCTTGGATTTTGTGAACTCCTTGAAGTACTCGATCTATCCAAAAATAGATTGAATGGGTCGATTCCAACAAGTATTGGTCAATGGGCACAAATCCACTACTTGAATCCTAGTAATAACAAGTTCAGTGAGAAAATCCCATCGGAAATTGGTAAATTAGTTCATCTTATGGAACTTGATTTATCATAGAATTTTCTCATAAAAGAGATACCATCTGAAGTTCAAAGTTTGCATAGTTTGCAAAAATTGGATTTTTCTCACAATAGACTATATGGTTCTATTCCTGATGCTTTTGCGAATTTGTCTCGTGGGATTGATATCAACCTTTCTTTCAATAAGCTCTCTGGTCCAGTCCCCTTTTATACCAACTTTGTGAATGCGTCTTTGGAAAGCAATCCAGATTTGTGTGGGAATGTTAAGGGAGTGAAACTTTGTCCAAATCAAATTATGAAGAAGAAAAACGATCCCTTTCATCATAAGCCTATCCTTGTAATTATGCTCCCTCTTATCGGGGCTGTTTTACTTGGTGTATTCACGTATGGTCTCATTGCTTATCAACAACAAAATAAAAAGTTTCCACAAAAAGCATCAGACGAAGAAAGTGGTGATTATTTTTCTATTACAAGTTTTGATGGAAAAGTAGTGTATGCTGATATCTTGAAGGCAACAAATGATTTCAATGAAACATACCACATTGGAACCGGAGGATATGGGACTGTGTACAAAGCGGAGCTACAACCGAACAATGTGGCAGCTGTTAAGAAACTTCAATAATGGATTCCTTAATGAGGTATGGGCATTAACCAACATAAGGCATCGAAACATAGTGAAACTCTATGGATATTGCTCCCACGTTCGCCACTCATTTTTGATTTATGAATACCTTGAAAATGGAAGCCTTGGATCAATCTTAAGAAGCGATGTTTTAGCAAAAGACTTGGATTGGTTGAAAACAGTAAATATTGTAAAGGGTATAGGTAATGGTTTGGCTTATATGCATCATGACTGCTCACCGCCTATAATTCATAGAGACATATCCATAGCCAAAATCCTTCTTGACTCTGATTATGAGCCACATATTTCTGATTTCGGCACGTCCAAGCTTTTAAAGCTAGACTCTTCCAACTGGACCGCAATTGCAGGCACCTTTGGTTATATCGCACCAGGTAACACGACCTTGTGAGTTTAGTTCTACATCTTCTTAAGTTTTATGATATATAGAAATATGTATTGTTGAATCATGAAAGTGACCCTCTTGAACTCTTCTACCATAACCATCTCCCTACCACAACGGATCAGCAACCGCAGTCGTTCCAGCACCCGGAGTCTATTCCTCATCTGCAACCGCAATCAGCTTTTCCTACCACAGTCAGCTTAACTAGATTATTTTACCTGTCTTTTATGTAATACACTCTATTATCCAGTATGCCTTGCATGGCTACTTATAGAGTTGTAATCTAATGTAGTTCAGTGTCTCTATAAATAGAGACTTTTTCTTCAGTGTTAAATACAACTCTTATCTTTCATCACTCCTTTTCACTGATAACTAGTGAGATATTCTGAATATATTTCTCTAAGTTATCTTCTTCATTTCTCTATACTCTTCTCACTCTCAATAATCACTGAAACATATCTGATTATAACCTCTCTTCGGAGAAAGTCTTTAAGACTTAATCACTAAGCTAGATCTACCTTATTAACTCGGAGTGAATGCATTACTTATTACGAATCTGCTTAAGTGTATTCTTGATATAACAATTGTTGTCATTTCTATTTCTTTACTTTCCGCAACTAACTCTCTAACTATCTAACTATATTATTGTTAAGCTTTTGGATCCTTGAGATTAACTATTCCGCTATATACTTGTTCTAACTTTTGTTCAAGTGTGTTTACAAGTTTTTCTCTCAACAATTGGTATCAGAGCCAAAGTGGTTGCTTTTTGGAGATCGGAACTCTGTTTGTTCAAAAAGCTTTCTATACCACTAAAGCTCATTTTAAAAAAAAATCAAATGGCACAATCATTATCTCTGAATGTTTCCAACAGTGTTGGTGGTTCTAATCGAGCCCCAATACTGGTAGCAAATGAATATCATCACTGGTCACAAAGAATGGAGAGGTACTTAAGAAGACTGGGAAGAGATGTATGGCGATCCGTAGAAGAAGGACCACATGTTCCAGTTCTTACACCAATTCAAACCGACGGCACTGCGACCAGGCTAGGATGAGGTCAACTAGTCATGAGCTGTCCCACCAAGGATTATCTCGATAAAATGGAAAATGATGTTGTTGCCTTTTATGAAATTTTCTGCGGAGTTGCTCCTGACAAGTTCGATATTATCATAAACTGCAAATCAGCAAAAGAGATCTTGGATGTTCTCAAAAACTTATATGAAGGCTCTGAACAAGCACAAGACAAGAAGCTCACTACCACACTCAATGACTTCAATAACTTTAAAGCTCATACTGGTGAAAGTTTGGAAGACTCTTTCAAGAGATTCAACCTGATAGTCACTAAGTTATCCAACGCGGGCACCGTCCGCAGTAACCATGAAACCAACCTATAGTTTCTTAATGGTTTAGGAAGACATTGGACGATTGCCAAGATGATAGTTCAAGGCGACAGGAAGATTCACTCTTTGTCACTCTACAAGCTCTATGGAGAGCTACAAGCACAAGAATCCACCGTACTTAAAGACTGTGCTGACTTTGGAGGACCACTGGCTCTTGTAGCACAAGCTCCACCGCAGTCACCTTACTCTTCATCGTATGACACACAACTGCAGTCATACAAAGTAGATTCTAAGTATGATGATGAAGAAGAATTTCAGAAGGCTATTGCTCTGGTTAGCCATAAGTTCAATCGTATACCACCTCCTTCCCTCCGAAAGAATCAACAGCTCAACAAACCTCCATTCAACCGTAACTTCGGTTCTCAAAACAACCATCCCAAATATCCCAAAAGCTCTCATTCACCACCACAATCTCAGACCAATCAATCAAAGGAGGTACCGCAGTCTCCTCAGATCACTAACTCCGGTACTCAATCAGAAGACAAGACTGATGTTGTTATTTGTCACAAATGCAACAAAGAAAATCACTACACAAAAGATTGTAAGGCCAATATAGTCAAAGACAGAGCATTCTATCTTAGAATGGCTCAAGAGCTCGAAGAGAAAGAAAAAGCAAGGGCATATGTGGCCCATGTCAAAAGAGACCACCAAGTTTGGTCATCCGAAGATGAAGAAGAGACCATCAGCAGTGTTAAAGAAAAAAAGGAAAATATGCATGCTGGCCACTACGGATGATGATGGATCAGCAATGTTGAAAAAGAACTTTTGTTACATGGCCAAAGATGGGACCATAAGCATCGTCGAACAGGTAAAACTCATGATCCGAAATTTAAATTACAGTATGCATGATTTTCAACCCTACATAGACGAACTTAATGACATTAGTGTTGTCGTCCTTACAGACTATAACAAAGCCTTAGATGAGAAGAACATTGCATCCCAAGAGATGTTCCACGTAAGAGGACGACTGGACAAGAAAAGACTTAAGATGGCTATGTTAGAGAGGGATCTAGAGTTAGAAAAGGATCCTAGAATGTTAAGCGAAACCCAATTAGAAATAGCTTTGAATCAGAGAGATTTGGCTCAGAAAGAAATTGTATGCTTAAATCTTTTAATTGAAAAACTGTTTAATGAAAGTGAGGCTATAAAAATTTGGTAAACAATGATACCATGGACAATACATATAATTGGGGTTGGTCAAATGGATATCCTACCGCAATGGATTCCTCACCCCGGTTCAACAAAGACAAAGTGTATGTCCCTCCTGATAGAGAATTTCATTTCCCTGTCAATGACAAGACTTTTCCCGAAGATATCAAAACTCACTTCGGTAGATTACACAAATTGAACAATAGTTGTGTGATTGAGGAAATTGTGTCCGAGGATTCTGGTCACACATGTGATCAAACTCCCTTCTATGGCACCACTCACTCAAATTCTCAAGCTTCATTCGTAGTTGATGAAGAAGTTATTGTTGAAGGCCCCGAAGTCTCAAAGGACTTTCCATCCTTGTCCTCAGACCACAGTGTTCCACACTGTAGTCAAGTGTCCCATAAGTATCCCACCGAAGTCCTATCGAAGACCTACTCTGCGGTAGTCAAGTCATCTCTACCGCAGTCATCAGGTCAAGGAAACACAACACTTCGGCCAATACTTCATGAATTACCTATAGAAAATTTTGAAGTAGGTCAATGCTCTCAAATCCCTGAATCATCAAGTTCCGATGATTCAAGTCCGCGTTTTCAAAATCTTTCAAAAAAACCCCAAGAGACCGCAGTTGAATAACAATGACTGCGGTTCACCAAAATCTTTGGCAAAAAGGGATTTCAAAGAAGAAATTAGATCTCGAAGCATAAAACAACAAAGTTTTTCAAAAAATAAGAAACATGTCAGAATTTCAAAATCCAAGAGTCAAGAAAATTGTGTTTTCTCAATCAATACTTCAAAAAACTCTTCTTTCATGACTACAAGCAAAGAGGAAAGTCCAGCCTCAAAAGTCACTCCTAATACTTTTGACACCACTCAAAAAGGTGTCAAGTCCTTTAGAAACTACATTTTTCAAGTCTATTCATCAAATGACCCTAAATGGAAAGGAATCTTACCCACTCCAACACTTTTAAAATCACGTCAAATTTTCAACAAATGGAAGGGTATCTTACCAAATCTTTAAAAAAGGACTCAAAGATTTACAAGTGCTAAACCTCGTTTAAAACAAACTTTTCAAAAACCAAAAAGCACGCATGTCAGAAGTCACCCACCTCGAACCAGTACCAAGTCCAATTCTTTCTATAAACCGCTAACCAAGCAAAGTATCAGATTCAATGACAAAAATTCCTTTTGTTAATGTCAGTGTATTTTTCAAAAGGTTTTATCCCATGTCAAGTAAAATCGAAGTTAGAAACATTGTACTTTTCAAAAAACTCACAACAATCCAAATCTGAACAAACACCCAAGACTCGGTCTAAAAGCTGACAAAAGACCTGTCCATGCAACCTCAGAGTTTGCATCATTTAAAAACACGTCAATTGTCCCTGGCTCCAAAATTGTTTGGATGCCTAAACTAACCATGTAGTTCTCAGGCCTTGTGCAAGGAGGAACAAGAAGAAGAATGGTTAATTGACAGTGCCTGCTCCTTGCACATGACCGGGCCCATATGCAATGGTGGAAATGTCACGTTTGGCAACAATGCAAACGGTGTAATCCGAGGTTATAACGTTCTCACAACAGGGAACTTTTCCATTTAGAAGGTTGCTTATGTAGAAGGCCTTAAACACAATCTCTTTAGTGTTGGCCAACTATGTAAAGCAGGACATCATGTTGAATTTGATGATCAGTTATGTTATGTAATGACAAGTGATAGGAGCTCATGTCTGATTAAATCTCGATCTGAAGGCACCATGTATCCTCTGGATATCTCTCTCATCTTTGGTAGACGGCAGTTATGTTTCCTCTCCAAAGCTGTATCTGAAGTTAGCTGGCTATGGCACCGCAAGCTAGCTCATCTCAACCTCCGATACATCAACAATCTAGTCACTGGAGAGCTCGTCCGCGGCCTCCCTATTCTCAAATTCAGCAACGATACTCTCTGTCCATCTTGTGAATGCGGCAAACAATCAAAAGCAAGTCACCCTCTGATAATAGATTCTTCTATTTCTGAACCACTGGAGTTATTACACATTGATCTCTGCGGTCCCTCAACCGTAGCCAGTCTCCACCACAAAAAATATATACTGGTTATTGTTAATGACTTTACACACTTCACATGGGTTTTCTTCCTTAGACTCAAATCAGAGACACCGCAGATCTTCATCAACTTCATCAAGGAAATCGAACTTCAGATTAAGCTTCTAGTCAGACGCATCCACAGTGATAATGGAACTGAATTCACTAATCATCTTCTCAACAATTTCCTAGTGTCCAAAGGCATTTCTCACAACTTCTCAGCACCTTATACACCGCAACAAAATGGTGTGGTAGAAAGAAGGAACCACACACTCGTTGAAGCAGCCAGATCCATGCTTAACTTCGCCCACCTTCCTCTATAGTTCTGGGCTGAAGCTGTAGCAACCGCCTACTTTGTCCAAAATCGAAGCATAGTGTGCAAGCGTCTCAATAAAACACCCTATGAAGGTTGAACAACCGAAAACCAAATGTACGCTTCTTTCACATTTTCGGATGCAGATGCTTCGTAATCAACAACAGAGACCATCTCAATAAGTTTGCACCAAAATCTGACGAAGATATCTTCCTTGGTTATTCCACTAACAAGGTTGCATATCGTGTGCTCATCAGACGTACAAGGATGATCATTGAAAGCTTTGATGTGAAATTTGATGATTCTCACATCCGCAATGCCCCTTTATCCACAAAAACCACTGCAATCATGGAAAGTGACATTCCAGCCTCTTCCGGTCCTCTGACTCTAGTTGAAGTCAACTATGATGATCTTTTTGATCCCACTGAAACGGCGAAACTATCCGAAGTTCTGGTGTCACCCGTAGCTCTACAACAACATGCCGATGTCTCTGGACCATCTCCATCAGAAGTGGTATCTCTCAATACTTCCACCTCTTCGGTTGTGGGAGAAAGCTCCACTTCGAATCGATCCACAACCGTTGAGGTTCCAGTACTTGAGGTTGCTCAAATTCCTGCCCACAGATAAACATTACCATCAAACGCATCTTCGGATTCGGATGATGAACTCATAGAAAATATTGACACTAGAATCGATCCAAGGATTGTCACTCTCCCATCTGCAGTCTAGGGGGAACCTTCTCAAGTTTAGGAGGAACCTCCATCCGCATCCCTGGGGGAACCTCTCCCAACTACTCAAGATGACTAGCAGGATGTTCTCATGTCAAGGGGGAACTACCATCTCCAACCGCAGATTCCTCTGACATTCAAGATATCCCCTCTACTGCAGCTGCTGATCATCTGTTGCCACGCCTTCGTATGGATGAAAGACAATCCACCAGGCCAAATCATTGGCAACCCATCCGCAGGACACTAGACTCGATCTTCCAAGGATTTATCTGATCACTGCCACTATGCAACATTTATGTCCTCGGTAGAGCCCAGAACGATCAAAGAAGCATTGCTTGAACCAGATTGGATAGCCGCGATGCAGGAAGAGCTTGAAGAATTTGAAAGAAACA